TGTGCTCTGTCTCCCTGTTGGATTATTAAAGACTCTCGTTTTGTGAAATTTCCACGTATTCTCGTCTCCTCGTCCCTTGCTCCAGCGTATTTTGACGCTGTGAGAGATTCTGCTCTTAATTTCTGGCAGTTGAAGAGGGCAGCATGAAATGAACAGAGGGTGGATTACCCCTTTTCATTCCTTTAATAATTCTGCCATCATGAACTCATCATAGCTAAAGCTTTGTTATAATACAAAAACAACAGGAGAAGATTCCAGAAGAGCACCTGCATCCTCCTTGAACTCAGTGCAGGTTAATATTTCTCTCAAACACTTGTATTCTGTGTTGTTGGAGCTGACCAGGCCAAAGGCTCTGCACTTTTTGGCAGACTTCAAGTCTGTCGGTCAGTGTCTGGCTGGGTTTAGGGCAGAGACGGCTTTCTGGAATCCCTTTGAAGTCAGGCAGTGACCATGTTCATGCGACAGCTCTGACCGGTGCGATGGAATGTGATGGGATTTTTAGCTGGAAAGGTTGTGAGAATGACCCGTGCACTGTAGCCACTGTCACATGGCATTACAAACACCACATACTTCACATTTCATATCATTAAAGTGGAAGATACACAAACGGAAACTGCTTTAGCGCTTGATAAGCGAGGCATTTGTTTGTGGTACTGTTAGCATCACTGTTATTATTGCTTATGATTAGGGATTTGAACAAACCCCTAAAACTAAGTTTTAAACTTCAGCCTGACAGTAAAATGGGACAGCTTGCACATGTAGAGTACTTCAAATCTTAAAAGTATATTTTTAAAAACAGTTCTTAGATAATATTAAGACACTTTCATAACTGTTTTATAAAACACTTAATTGCAAAAGTGTAGTGTTGTAAAGTATTTTTTTTTAATCATCATGTTTTAATAATCTTTTAACTTGCTTTAAACAAATACACTTATTCTGATGTGTTGTCTAACTAATTTTAACTGTAGTGCGTTATTTGATATTTTAAGTTAGTATATGTACTAAACTAGAACTTGATCATTACAAGTGTGTAATTACAAAATATATTTAAATGCATAACATACAAGCTTCAATAGAGATTAAGGGTTGATCATAAATGCTTGTCAGTATATTCGGCAGTACACTTTAACCATATTTCAGTGACAACTGGTGGGTCAAAAAAGCACTTTAAATTTCAGCACTACAGTTTAGTACATTTTCATTTAATTGCTGTTAACATGCTACTGCATCGAGTGTCTGAAAAAAATTATTACATTCATTTCGCACTTAAAAGAATAGTTCACAAAAAAAAACAAAACATGAAAATCATTTACTCACCCTCATTTGTTCCAAATTTGTATGAGTTTCTTTCTTCTGTACAACACAAAAGAAGATATTTTGAAGAATGTGGGTAACAAAACAGTTGATG